ATAACGTCCCACGGCTGAAAGAGCGAGCATGTTTGGTGTAACCGGGATTCGAACCCGCGACTCTCAGATTGCGAGTCGAGCGCCCTAACCACCTGGCCATGCCGGGCCTACAGGCTAGAAGGAAGGCAGCTAGTCAGCAGATTCACCACCCACTCTTGGGCTACTAATGTCTGAACCAATATTGGATTTGACTAATACCCTTATAATACACCACATAAAGTCACAGGTACAGAGTGTAATTTTTTAGTGGTAATGAAATTCGAACCGTGGACCTACAAATCCACAGTTGGTTATACTAACCATTTAACTTCAGTCAGTCCAACAGGTGTGTGAGTCATAAATTTATGAAATATAATCATAACAAAGTATACTTTAAAAAAAGCTGTTAAACCATATTGTTTTGGTCAGTCTTGGAAACAATTTCTTAATGCGAGGCTATTTTTGTTATTACTACATGAGAAAAGTGAAACAATCTAATTTCAGAAAATTTTTCTGATTATAATTGTTTAAGTCATAGAGGAGTTTATCCTTCTTGGGTTGATTGTTATTATTATGAGGGAGGCTGTGGCTTGATTAAAGAGAAGGCTCGTCTAAAGAAACAGTTGAGTGTATTTTTTGTTTGTTTCTTTACGTTTCAGCTAACGTTTATCTTTTTAATTTTAGTCCGTTTCAGTACATATTCATTTTATTTTGATTTTAATTTGAATTTCAATGCATGTGATAAGCAAATATCACAAACTAAACCATTAAATTAACTTAGCATTTAAATATGCGTCTATTCATATAACTTTTATTTTAGATTTAGTACAGGTCTCCATACTTAGTTATAAGTTTTATATAAACAGCCAAAAAACAACCCTATCGAATTCCTAAGCGAACGACCAGCCATTCAAAGATTGGTTGCGATATATTATGCGCATGTATACTATCAATACGCTAAAAAGGACGCTAGCATTTCCGGTATAACAATTCAAAAAATTCTAAAATAGCAACTTTTTCGTCTACTACATACCTACCTGATTATGTCAGCGGGGCCTGCGCTTAGACGGCTCGGACTATCACTACAAGATACCTTCAACTTACTTGACTGGTCTGTGGGTATCCACTTTTGATATTTCGATAAAAATCAATATATATACAGGTATAATATAAATGGTAAACATATCATGTACGTATTAAATATCTTTTCAACCCAACGGATTGCACTGCATGTCGATGGATAGACACGCAACAGTTTCTAAAGGTAAAGTATATTATAGTTTATACAGGTATAACATAAAAAAGTAAACAAACAAGAGTATCAAAAATTATGAATGTTGAAATGAAGTTAGAATGCTGCCACAAAAAGTGATGAAACAAGAATTAAAACCACAATCACAAATTTATCAAATTTAATCTCTACTTTGGCGGCTTTATACACTTATCTGTAGGCCAAAGTAAGGATCACATTATATAAATTTGTGTTTATGGTATTGATTATTGTAAAAATTATAGGAATATGGCGCTACTGAAAGTTTTTAGATGTTGTGACTATTCCATGGATGTATAAAAACTGAACAAATAAATAGGAAAAAAATAAAATTTTAAAGGAAGTAGGGAGCATAGGTTATTGGTAGAATTGCTATAAAAATATCCAAAACAAATAAATGTTGCAATAAAAAGTACACAAACAAGTAAAGTGATACAAGTTGGATAAAGTTTAAAACGATTTTCAATCCCTTCTTTGGTTGGCATTGTGATTCATATAGCTAAATGAAGCAGTCTAAATTTGCTAACCAAAGTAGGGATTAAAAATCGTTTTAAAATATATCCAACTAGTATCAATGTACTTGTTTGTGTACTTTTTAATGTAGCATTTATTTTGTTTTGGATACTTCTTATAGCAATTCTACAAATAAACAACGATCACTACTTTCCTATTTATCTTGATAAATTTTTAACATATTGGTTATCAGTAGAGGTAGAAAGGACGAAAACTCTGGTTCCTTTTTGTCTTCATAAGGTTGGTAAACTTGATGTCATGTGGAGCTTAGGAATGATATAACTTTAAGTAAACTTATTCTTGCATGACCATATTAACTTTGGTATTCTTGAAGTGAAATTGTCTTTCAGGTTACTCACTACAATGTAACCACTGAAACAGAAAGTCAAACCTACAAGTAAAAGAGAAAGTTTTTTTTTATTATATTTCTCCCCATATGCCCCAAAACCATATTCACATAACTGTTAAATAAATAACTTTCTTCATTAAATGAAGATAAACTTAATTACAGCTCCACCATACAGATCTCAAATAAAATCCCATGATTGTGGTTAATAGTTTACTTGTTGATTTTAAGTGTATCATGTTATCGTTGTGATGTTGTTCTTTCGTTAGTGGGATCTTTTAAATTATTTGATAAAAATAACTACACTTCCAGTCTGCATAACGATCATAAACTACTTTATTTGTCCATTTAACGTTTCTATAAGCTTGAACACTTTTACCCTGCTGTAAGTTGTATAAAATAACTCACAAGCGTGACTGCAAAACACAGATCCAAATACATGATAATACACTGAGCGATTCACGCTCTATGTAGAAATAACTCTACACTCTATTAACTGTATCCTCGACTGTCTTTCAACTTATTCTCTAATGAACCTAATGACGCTTCACAGAATGCCGGATTTATAATATACACTTGTTTTATATAGTTTAGAACATCTTAGATCTTAATGCCATGTGTCTTCTAGCTAATATCTAAATTAAACAAATTACAACATTATAAATAAAGTTTATAGCACTGCTTTTTACATGGATTGCAAAGTCCATTGAGCAATTCCAATACAAAATATTACAATTAATCATCGTTTCCGAAGCCCATGGGATGGCATCTTGTGCCTGTTGTCATTGGCTGTCTGTCGCTGGAGAAATTCGTCTTGGGTAGGTGGCTGCATCTTTGATGATCATGTGGAAGCAGTCATGACAGGAACTCCGATCTCATTAGCAGGTTTGTTTGTTTGTAATTAAGCACAAAGCTGCACAATGGGCTATCTGTGCTCTGCCCACCACGGGTATCGAAACCTGGATTCTAGTGTTGGAAATCCGCAGACATACCGCTGTGCCACTGGGGGGCTAGCAGGTTGGTCTTCTTAAAACTTTCTGTGTCGTTCTTCTAATTTTTTATTTCTTTCTTCGTGATATTATCTTAATATTTTCATCATATTGTTACGTCTCCGTTTGTTAATTAACTTTCCGCAACTTCGTTCCGACGAAACTTTAGCGACACAAGTCCTTACTTAATAAAACTGGTTTATTCTTTCTGAATATAACTTTACGATACACTCAACTTCAACAGTCGCGC